GCCATTCGGAAGCTATTGATGGAAGTGGAATTACCAAAGGAGACCCAGCAAATCGACCGTTTCCTCCAGAGCTTCGCTGACCGATACCATGAGTGTAATCCGGGTATCTTTGCGAGTACTGGTAGGTCACCCTAGAACCCACATAATGGAATTCTCTAACTCTTGTCTTTTGCAGACCAGGCATATTTCATTGCGTTTTCGATCCTGATCTTACACACGGACGTCTTCAACAAGAATAATAAACGGAAGATGCAGAAACCAGACTATGTCAAGAACACCCGTGGAGAAGGCATTTCAGAAGATATCCTAGAGTGCTTTTATGAAAACATCTCCTACACACCCTTCATTCGCATCGAGGACACGAATCCCAACGGGCGCCACCTTCCAAAGCCTCGCCGAACATTGTTCAAGACGGCCAGCTCCGACCACCTTGGTCGTTCGACTAGAGAGCCCGTTGATCCCTACACCTTGATCATGGATGGAAAACTCGATTCTCTTCGACCGAGTCTCAAGGATGTGATGAACCTGGACGATCCGTATCGCTGTAATGGAACGGATGGACCGCCAGATATTGAAAACCTCCATCGTGCCTTTTCCAAAGCCGCTGTGCTCCAGATTGTCTCCCTGCGTTCACGGCCTGATGCATTTATGCCTTCGAGTATGGAAAACCCGATAGATTCCAACCCAGGCCTAGTGGATATCAAAGTAGCCAAGGTCGGATTGCTTTGGCGCAAAGACCCAAAGAAAAAGAAGGCTCGATCCCCATGGCAAGAATGGGGTGCCCTTCTGACGTTCTCGAAGCTCTACTTTTTCAGGGACGTCAACTGGGTCAAGTCATTGATGCACCAAGAGGAATCCCACTACAAAGAAGGCCGCCGTCGAGCTGTTGTATTCAAACCGCCTTTGACCGACTTCAAACCTGATGGGATCATGCAAACTGATGATGCAGTGTCTTTGATCGATAGCGGTTATAAGAAGCACAAACATGCCTTTGTATTTGTTCGACACAACGCTTTGGAGGAAGTATTCTTAGCCAATAGCGAGTCAGATATGAATGATTGGCTGGCCAAGCTCAATTATGCCGCAGCCTTCCGAACCACTGGCGTCCGGAGCAAGGGCATGATGGCTACTGACTACGAGGCGCAGCGGAATCGGATGAGCCGCCGGGGCTCTAGTGTTTCTCTCAACGAAAAGGAGCCGCCATCGCCTAATCCTGGGGCAGATATGGGGGAAGATCTGATCGTCGCGCGGGGACATCTGATGCGCCAGAAGATCCGCGAGGCCAATGAGAAACTTTTCGTCAGCCAGCGACAGCTTGACGATTTGCTAAGGAACGCTAGACATCTGCAGGTCCTGACTCCGGTGCACTCCAGGGCGCGAGAGAGCGTCATCATGGCTGCGGGCCGCATGGCTGCTAAGCTCAAGTGGGTGCGGCAGGATATTTGGCGTACCAGGTGCTACCGCGAAGTTCTCGTTCGTGACTTGGGTGAAGGGGACGCGGAGACACCATCTTTGGCCGAGCAAAAACATTTGCAGCTACAGATTCCTGCGGATACCACCTCCCCCGAGTCCAAGGAAACGGAGAATGAAGCAGTGCCAGAGAAACTAGCATCACCGATCAAAGAGATGGCGCCGCCTTCGCCGCACCCTGAATCTATTAAGCCGCCATCCATCTGCGAACCACCGGCACCCCAGCCTGCGGCAGAAGACTTGCGCAGACCGAGCATTCCTGCATCCTTCGCGTCATCCGAGGCCGCTTCTCGGATTGGTAGACGACTCTCGGTGGAAGATCTCAAGGAGCGTACAAAGTCTTCTTCTCCTGAGCCGTCAAACCGACTGACCCGGGAAGCCTCTGTGCTCAGTGCTGCCAGCAAGCTAGATGTCTCCAGCTTGGCTTCACGTGCCTCCAAACTCACTTCCCCCGGAAGCTTTGACGATGGCGAAGAGCGCGTACTTCGCGAGGCAGGTTTGCTGGAGGTGAATACCTCTCCTCAGACCAAGAGACAATCCCTTGTCATCAAGGAAGGCGATAATGATCAGAAGCAGAATGACACCCAAGAAGCGGCTCAAATGGACCGTTCCAGTCGGATTCGTCGCAGTCTCCACCGGACTCTCCGGGATGCGCCTGGTGTGCACCACGGCCATCTCCCTCGCAGCAAGAAACCTCGCGACCCGGCTTCCGCCGCAGGCGCACACGAGGACGGCCAAGGAGCGCATGAAGGTGAAGGCTTGTCTCGCAAGTCTGCTAGTTTTACTGTCCATGGCAAGAAGGCTTCGATCATTACCTTTGGAAGTGAGTGGCAGAACATGCCCCCCGAGGAACGTCTCAAACTTCGGAAGCCCACTCCATCGGAGGAGCCGAGAATGTCCGATCCAGCTATCACCAGTAGTGCGGACTCAATAACCTCAGGGTCATTGCACCCCGGCCAACCGCACTCCCTGCGTAGTTTGAGTCCAGGCACCAGGAATAGTGCACATTTCACCGAAGAGTCAGAGAACCTCTATAGCCAGGCCCAAAAGGCCAAAAGCGATGATGGTTTCGAGTCGAGCTCTAAACACACTGAAAACTCCTTCGTCACCGCGGATCCCGACCAATCCTCTTTGAACGAAGATAGCAATGCCGTCGACGAGACCACGCCCAAAAAACTTACTGCCACACCCGAGCAAGCTGTCAACGCATAAATAGAGCGAATATTTCAAAGCGAAACCAAGAAGAATATTTTCTCAACTCACCCTTGTCAAGACCCGTTTTATTTACCTCTTCGTTCTCATTATCTTACGACTGACTTACTTTATACCCCACATCATCTTTCATTTTGAATCCATTTCATTGCATCTTGCCTTTCTCTACCGTCTCGTATTACTATTACCTCTTATATGATTTAGAGCTCTGACGTTACCCATCTTCTCCTTTTTTGTCCCCCGATTCAACTTGATAGATTTATCTGCGCGCGGACTCCGCAAATAGACCGAGTCCGGCGCCGTTACGACCTTGATACCACTTTTCCAGTTTTTCTTCACTATTTTCTTGTCTCTGTTGGATCTTCCGGATGGGTCGTTCTCTGGCTGGATTCTTATGTATTGTATTCGAGTAAGGCACTTGGGCGGAAAAAGGGCATGGTACTGCTTGTTTTGTTTTTCTTCTGTCATGTTGAACTCGAGATACCTTTGCATGAGATCTCTCTGGCGATTATGTTTGGCGTGATATGGCATTGGAGAATTTTTGGATTCGTATGTAGGAGCTAACTAGTTATGAAAGATGCTTCTAGCTTGAGTATCAAAATAGATCTAGCTTCTAGTTATACCTCGTACATGTAGTACCACTAGCAGACTTTGACGTGTAAGGAGACATCGTAGCATAGTATATAAGTACTCTTAACAAAGCTACTAGGTATCACAAAACAACTTCATGGCCTATACCACAGGATTTCACCCAACTGCCATGCATCCAAGGCATTTAAGAAGAACTAGAAACCAACAGCCTCCACATTCACATAATCGAAAAGCCTGAGTGATAGCAGGGAAGATATCATGGTAGTAATCCAGCCCTAACTAGTACTTTACTCAAGCCAAAAATTCACCGTAGGGCCAAGGTAATGACTTGACTATCCTAGTAGTCCCTGTCTTCACTCATGATAGAAACAACGATGAATAAAGTACTGTATTTTCTATCCACTATGAGTCATTCACCCAGCATGACCTCACCTCACCTCAACGCTCACATGAAAAGGGAAATGTAGCACGTGAGGTATATCCATAGTATGTCTGTGCTATAATAGTCACAAGCGAGGTCATCGCAAAGTTGCAAGATGGCACTGGTTCTAGAATTGGATGATGGGAAGAAGATGCAAACCTAAGCAAGGTGTATAGTACCTTCTTGTTTCATTCATGACAGGATTTAGACCGGGTTATCGGTACTCATTAAAGCTGTGTAGAATCCCATAATGTGTCGAAGGGGATGGGTGCTGTGGGGTTTTGATTATCTGGTGTGTCTAAGTAGATGGGGTAGGGCTAGGGAGGAATACATGTTTACCGACTGGGTCGGAGAATGGTCTTGTCTGGTGGGTGCTGGAGAGTCACTGCGTTCCATTGTGGATATAGTAGTAGTTGTATCTTTGCGTTGGTTTTGTGTTTTCGATTGTAGATTGTTTTTTTTTTCTTCCCTTGAGGATTGGATTTTAAATTGGTTGCTACTACTACCCTTTTCTATTGTTTTTGTGTGCTGGTAGTAGTGGTAGTTGAGTAGTTGCCTACCTGGTTAAGTTGATGCTACTTACTTCTCACCACCTACTTACTACTCAAAGATCTCCTACCGATAAACACGACCAACCTCCTTTTACACGCGCGGCCATCTCGACTCAAACAATGGCCTGGAAATAACATCCGACACACCATGATAAAAGCCAAGGTGCTTGTGTTTGCCATTTTGGTATACCCAATCAGTCTTTGGTCCGTTTGCGCGGGGTACTGGGTTTGTGTGGCTGCATACTATGGCTATAAGATTGGCAGGTCGTGTTTGGGTTGGGCGATACGTGGGTTTTACTTTCATTATTACTGACTCCCTCTTATTCGTTTTTTTTTGGCATCCTACGTGTAGCGTGGGTTGTTTTGCGTGAAGTTACGTTACGTGCTGACCGGGGTGTGATCGTCGTCGTCGTTGTTGGCAGGTTTTGACACATATTTGGGGACTGGTTGGTTGAGTAGGGTTGTCAGTGTCTTGTTTGTCTTACTGGCCTGGGAGGGGTGTCTGGCTGTGGATGAGTACGTCGAATCGGTGCGGAGAGGGTGGGAATGTCCGCCATCTGAAGTGAGGAAGCGGTTAGGTGAGTGTTCTGGCGAGTCGAATAGTCTTTCTGGAGTATTGGAGACATGGGGAGAAGGTCGTCAACTGATTTGCGCAGCTCTTGAGTTTATTCTAAACCCCCCGGTTGTTCTACTTTCGGATCCTCCGATGTTTGATGCTGCGCTTGATGATGAAGGTGAAGAGTTCGAGGAACATACTGCAGACGATCGTGAAGCTGGAATGGCCGGCTACGGGGAAGCTATGGATGACTCGGCTGAGTATGCTGTTGGACCTGAAGTCTCTGATGACGGGACGAACTCGTGGGAAACCGTTGATTATAGCGATAGCCCCGTGCGAGATTCCGAATCCTGGATTGAAACGGTTGAGCGAGATGACGAATATGAGGCGGAATATGGTAACTATTATGAGGAGGAAAGTGAGAAGCTCTTCAGCAACGATCCTGGAAGCCAGGTGGATATTGATGACGGCGGCGTCTTCCTTCCTATGAGCATGTTTGACTATCCTGAAGAAGAGGTTCAGTTTAGCGACCACGGATATACTGAGGACCAACAGGAAGATACCGAAGAAACATACGAGCTTGACATGGTTACCACACAGTACGGGCAAATGGGTGCAAACAATCCTGCCGTCAAACACGATACCCCAATGCAGACCACAATAGAGAACAAAGAAGGCCCCTGGGGATCTGAAACCTGCAGTGAATGTGATCAACCTGTGTGGGAAAACGCGTCAACCTCCAACATGATCAACGCAGAATCTACCAGTTCCAAACCCCCAGCTGCTTCTGTGGCCGGCCCAGACGCGCAGGATACTGGGGCCACTGAGCCTGCCTGCATCTTTGAAACCACGAAACCTTTGACACTAGAAGATATGGCTGGCAGCTGGTGGGATGAGGTCCTAGAGGCTATGGAAATAGGGTTTAAAGAGGCAGAAGCGGTGTTTCAAAAGGCAGCAAGTGCAGGATTCAAAGACATCGAAGTCAGCCCGGCTCTGGCTAAGGCAAAGAGTGTCCCGAGAAAAAGACGGCCCAAGAAGCCAGAGAAACCACGGACAGGGCCAGCTAACCGCAACCCCGACTGCACCGACCCAGAGAAGGACTTCTTTGATGTGTGTTGGAGCATCCTCAACGAGACAGGCCTGGTGGGAGAGTATATGAGGGACAGAATGCTGGTGAGTGTCTCGTCTCAGAACTGACCCGAAGCATAATGAGTACTGACGTGCTCGTTATCATAGCGGCGAACCTACCATAACGCCCATACCAAATGGCATCCCAGAGGGAAAGAAAACCACGGAAGGGCGAGAAAGCGTGAATGTTATCTCTGCTGTGGCTGTCAGAAGCCCATCAAATGAGAGGATTCAGAACTGTGACACTGCTCTCTCCTTCCGACATGTTTCGCTTGGATTGTTCTTGATTATCATGACTGCTAACGATACATAATCACCCTCCTCTGTTAGATTTAACCGGTGTCTCAATTCTATGTTGTATCTCTTCTGTGAAACGAGTTGGACAAGCAATGGAAGAGGAAGAGATGGAACTGTGGGATGGATGGATAGCATGTGACGGCATGACATAATCGCGTCGGCCACGATTTCTCCAGCTTCAACTTTCCTTCAACTGAACTTTCCTCTTGACCTTCTTGTTTTGCTTTATTTTAGCCATTGGCTTGACCTGTCACATATCTAACTCGCTGAATATCTGAATTGGTGTTACCGGAAGCTTCATCCCCTCATCTACCCACATAACTTACTCCGCACCGACCCTCCGACCTCCGATCCCCACTCCGCAATATCTTCTCCCTCGCCGATGCTCCATCCATAACCTCACATCAACCAATCCACCTCCCACGCACAGAATCACCACCATGGCGCACTCTAAGCGCAACACCTCCCTTCCCCACTTTACCTCCTACGAGCGCGATCTCCTCAAATCAAGCTGGGGCACCAAACGCGGCGTCATCGGCCGCGACTCTTTCCTCCCATTCGGCTCGTGTCGCCTCTGCCTACACCCGGCGCGAGAACCCGTCGTCGCCTGCGCCACCAACGGAGATCTCTTCTGTCGCGAATGCGCCATCAGCGACCTTCTCGCCCAGCGACAGGAGATCAAGCGTCTCGAAAAGGAACGCGATGAAGCCAAAAAGCGTCTTGCAGAGGAGGAGGAGCGGGCATTAGATGAAGCGCGAACACGGGAACTCCGTGATTTTGAACTAGTGAGCATGGGGTTAGATGCAGCAGCGAAGAAGAACAACGGGTCAAGCCAATCACAGAATGACGAGAGCTCCAAGAAACGGAAAGCAGATACCTCAGAGGCATTGGCTGCTTTCAAGGCGCGGGAGGTAGAAGTGGACGGGAAGCGGAAGAAGGTGTTCGAGTTGGATGATAAAGAGATGGCTAGAATTGCGCGCGAGGAGCAGGAACGGTTGAAGAATGAGTTGAAGAAAAAAAAGGTCTACTATTATTGTCCACCCCCCTCTGGTAGTTAACTTACTGACCATCCTCAGGAAGCAAACAAATCAGCCCTCCCATCCTTTTGGGTCCCCTCGCTCACACCCACCACCGATCCGAACGAAATCGCCGCCAACAAAACCATTAAACTAACACCCATTTGCCCTGCTTCCACCGACTCCAATCGCCACAGCTACTCCCTCAAATCCTTAGTGGAGGTGCACTTCACCGAAGAAAAGACCTCCGATGGCTCCCCGGCCCGTGTCTGCCCAAGCTGCAAGAAGACATTGACAAACGGGCTCAAAGCAATGCGTATGATCACCATCTTACCCACCGCAGTTTCCTCAACGCGAATACTAACCTAGATCTACTATATCCAGTAACGAAACCCTGCGGCCATGTCATCTGCCAACCATGCGTCAACAAATTCATGACTCCGCACGATGCGCCGGACCCGCACGCCTCGAAAGAAGAACAGGAGCAGACCGCTGCCCTGCATGGGCGGATTCTATGCTACGTCTGCGAGACGGATGTCACACCGTCAAATGACAGTAACAAGGATTCTGCGTCGTCGGGGAAGAAGAAAAAGAAGGACAAGGAGGGTATCCGGCCTGGTTTGGTGGAGGTTAGCTCCGAAGGAACAGGGTTTGCGGGGAGAGGCGGGAATGTTGCGACTAAGTCGGGTGTTGCATTTCAATGTTGATATGGTCTGCTTACGAGTCTGGTCTGGCGTGGAGTTGGTGAGTGGTTGATGGGTTCAGTGTGTGTGTATAAACCCGCGTTGGGGCGCGGAAATTGGGTTATCAACAGGCCGTGGAGACGGCGCTATTGCTATATCTATATCTATACAACCTGGGAAAGCCCATAACGTGTGATCAATATGAATGCATATATAGATGCAATGTCAATCTATACAGAGCCGAAATCGACCTAATGATATCCCAGGCCATGCAAAGGGAATAATGATAAGTCTAAAATACAAATGAAGGAAAACCCTTCCCTTCCAACTCACTATCCACAAACCCCCCATCTCTCATACACCACCATACCAGATCTATTTCTTCTTGCTGGCATTGTTAAACTCCCTCACGACAACATCACACTTAACCTCCTGACACAGTCTCTTCCTGCGGCCAGCATCCAACTTGGCCGCGAACTCCAGACCACTAGCCCGCTCCACAGCCTCAAGCGGCACCTCAAACTCCGTCAAGCGCTTATCATTCGAGATCCTAGCATTAGGGAGCACAAACGCGCCCAGCGCAACCTTACCCGCCGTAGCGGGACCCTCCTCCGCATACACGACCTTGTAGAAGTGTGTGGGGACAGCAACATTCGGCGGGTTTCCAATAACCTCATACGAGACACGCCACTTTCCATCCTGATCGCGGTGAGGCAAGTAAAGAGGACCAGTAACTACGCGCACGGAGGGGTACTTCTTCGTCAAGTCACGGCAGAACTCCTCAAAGTGGGCCCAATAGTCGCGGTTGAATCCCTCGCCGACCTGCGGACACATGTTCGACAGCGCGAAGGTCGCGTCCATGGCGTCCTGCGACCATTTGGCGTCCGCGGCGGGCACCTGGTGGCCGCGATCGTAGCCGGAGCGGAAGTAGTCGGACAGTTTGGCGCGGAATAGCGGCGGGATCGTGGTGTCTTCGAAGAATGTGCTGCCCTTGCGGTCCGCGTTCTTTTGTGCCAGGGACTGCGGGGTGATGTGTTCGGCCACCCAGGATGGGTTGCGTGTGCGACGGTCGTAGGCGCCGGCTAGGGGCGCCGAGAGGAGAGTGTCGGCTACCGGACCGGGGAAGCCATATTGGTAGATGCCGGCTGGGTCGACGGGGAAGCCGCTGGTTGGGGTGGGTTTGGGGGCGAGAGAGGGAGCGGCGGGTTGAGGGGCGGGGAGTTTGGAGGAGGTGGTCGTCGGAGGGTGAGGAGGGACTTGTTGTTGGGGGAGTGGTTGTTGCTGTTGTGGTTGGGGTCGGGGAGAGTAGAAGAGAGCCGTCAGACCGGCGCCCGTGGCGGCACTGGCGGCGGCGATGGCCGCGAAGGTGGCCTTGGACATGGTTTGCGGTGATGGAGGGAGGGAGGATGTCCAAGGAGCAGAGGAGAGGAGAGGAAGGATAGGAATGAAAGAGATGGATGGATAGAATCGGGACGGAGAAAAAAGTGGATTGCCGAAGAGAGTAAAATTGATGTTGAAGCGGAGACCAATCAGCGGGCGGCAATCAGATGATCGGGAAGTATAGCCTGAATGATCCCAAAAGGGTAATCTACAAACACCGTCTCGCTGGTAACTTTGGGTCTTCACTTGTCTGGATGGGTACAACTGCCACTGGTGACTGTGAGTGGGCTAGAGTGATGAAAAGGAATGACCGGCAATTCCCTAACAGCTGCGTTGAGACTTCTTTATATGCTATGCCAGCTTCGATGCCACGCTGGTCGGATGATCACCGTGTGCAGATGACCTACTGACCATGATGAAATGCCCCGGACTCCACATAGCATTCCCTGCAGCTATAAGGTTACTGGCCAAGGCTCAGTGAAAGACAGGAAATTCCCTGCAGTCGATTTAGAAGCATCTCGATTCTATACAGGCAATTCCCGAGAAGCCTAGTAGTGAGCATTGAATCAACCCGTTCTACTACGTGAGGTTATGTATTCTAATCAACTTTATTTTCCAGAATATGGCAGCTATCATTCATTTACTCTTTTCTCTCACAGCCTGTGATTTGCGCCATCCTTTTTCATCCCATAATCATGGAAGATACACAGGCACGCCGCATCAATGTGGAAATCGTTCGGAAAATCAGCACGTCAGAAGACGAAATACTAGCAGATAAAATCGACTTTGACCTGACCATGGACAGTGTGCATCTGTGGTACGTTCAAGTCAGGGAAAAGCTCAAGAAATGGCATTTACAAGACCTTGTCAATCCTAAACTCCCTCATCCTCCTAAGGACGATTCCTCTACCTGGGATAATTGGAAATATCTATCAAATTGCGTAAAAATCTACATACTTCACAACATACCAAAGGGGTATATCTTCGATCCTCGCTTTACGCCGCAGGCCACGAAATACGCCGACGTCCTATTAGAGACATGCCTCAAAATCGCCTCGACTCCCATTGCTGAAAACTTGGTGATACGGTACAGGGGTCTGATGGACTTTAGCCAAAGCGCTCCTCATGTTTCATACAAGGATGACGTTGAGTTGTTGGCAAGAATAGTGTCATCGTGCAACGAGCTGGATCCAACGTTTATCTCGCCTCTTCAGGCTACTTGCATTCTGCTTTCGCGACTCTCAAAGCGAAACTCGGAAGGTGCTAACTACGCGGACATCATCTATGCAAGGACTACCCCCGAGGAAGCCTTGAATATGACCTGGGACGACTTCAACAAGCTTTGGGAGGAGCTTTTGCATATGAAGATTCCTTGAGATGCTCATGGTTGAGACGATGTTTTGAATATCATCTTGCTGAAGACGGAAATAGGAAGACCGGAAATGAAATACAGGGTGTCTTGCTGAGAGCAGACCAACTCGTTTTCTTAGCTTGTTGATGCGTCTTTGTTGTACATAGTTCTATCATGGCAGATTGTAGGGTCATTATGACGGGTGGTATTTCTGTAATTGGCTATACACGCTATCAGATTCATTTTCCGACGCTTGTATTTGGCAGACCCTAAACTTGTCTTCATGTATATGGGGTGCGCATACTTGCTCTTGTAGCAAATATGGAAGACCTGCTGGGTTTGAGTTGCGTCTCTAGTATGTAGTGATTACCTACGTTTGGGCATGCGTCGACTATCTGGCAATCCCTTCTATGTTCTTACATTACTTCAACGCTACGCGCAGGTTGCAAGAAGATCAAAGTGCATCACATTCTCGAGCCAGGTCACTGCAGAGAAGCAAGCCATTGACAACAATCTCTGCCCCAGTCTGCATATGCATACATACATCGCCCCTCCTTCATTCAGATAATCCACTATCACACAGCCATCACAATCCCATTCTTCGTAGTTCCTCCTTATATCAGATTCCTTCCAACTCTTCAAACCCCATCGTGTAAAGTATCAACCATTTCAAATACAGTGGTGCTGTCGCAAACAGACGTGACAATCGGTATAGGTCAGGCAGATGGCGGAATTGAAGCATCTAGGGTGAGAACAACGAAGTGGACGATTAGTGTCCTGAACATCATTAACGTCTCTTTTCTTGCTGGTGGTATCACCTTGGTCTCCGGCATTGCCAGCCAGCTTCGTCTCTGCTTGGAGGGCCTCGACTTCAGCCAAGGCCTGGTCCAGCTCGGGACACAGAGAATCCGCAGCTATGGCAATCACGGTACCGCTCTCATCTTTCAACATGTAGCCACCATCCTGATCGTACAGGACAGTCTCAGGATTTTCCCGGACTACTTGGTTGAGTTGCTCACGCGTCTCGACCACCTTCGCGCCCTGGGGAATGGGTGCGGTGTAGCGAGTGAGAGACATGGCGGAGCTTGAAGAGACGAGAATCAGAACCAGGAGTTTACCAAGGGACTGGATGTGAGACATGATTGCTTGATGTTGTGCTTTGGAGCGTACCTGCTTGGGGACAAATATGATAGAGGGAGAAGAGGATGGAGATGAAAACAATCCTCGAGTCGGTTTAGGGGCGGCGATTGAGGGTGCTTTTATATTGAAAGAGAAGGCTTTCTTGCTAGCAAAGTGACGATTGTGAGTAATTGATTCTGATGCTTGTGTAGCCCAAGTTGAGAGGGGAAAGTGTCTTTGATCAAATCGAATTGATGCTTTTCTAGCGCTGGTTGCCTGCCATCATGTGACGGAGCCCCTGTACGTCACTCGACGTCGAGGGATAGACTTTGGGTGCCTTTCACGTTGCACTTCATTCATGGCTGGTTTGGCCGGTGCGACAATGCCTCTGGACACCGCGGCTTGCGTGGTTGCACTGCTCGGGGCATAATCCACGTTGTTATATCGACTTGGCTCGTCTTAGCTTTCTCCTTCTCTCCTTACTATTGGAATTTCTCCGACAATTACTTCATTATTCGTTAAAGAGTGTTTGATATCTAATGCGGTTGCATTTGTACCACTTTTATATTCTCCGGACATTGGCAGCAGGTACAGGCTTATCTGATAATTGTGCAGGGGAGATCAGTCTGCAGGAGAGCCATGGACTGGAGAACCACTGTGTCAGTCATACACATTGGTCATTCGAAAGATAGCGAACATGACTATTCTTCTTCTATCGACGATCGTTTCACCTGGCTTAAGATGCTATACACAAATCGCTACTCACAGGCAAGAATGACATTCTTCTGCTACAACAGATTCCGTCATTTCGAGTCAAATGGATGGTACTTCGGGTTCCAATTCAAGATTTGGGGTCTGACATGTACCAAGAAGGAAAACTATAAATGCTTCCTAGAGTCTTGGCTCTTAGAGCTATGCAGAGGCATTGACCACTGGGAAGGATGTGCTCTCATGAGGTACGACTGTCATTACTGGAATCTGGAGTGCTACTGGTGACTGACGATCAACTAAAATCTTAGGCTAACTCGCGCCGACCATTCAAGCGGCCCTCAGATCCTCTTACGCCCCATAGTCCCACGCTAATGCAACCGGCAACGCCGAAAAACTTGCCCTCGCCGCCATGCCAACTAGCATTTGTGAGAGTGCGCTTCTCGTTGGGAATAGAACATTCAACTAAGGTTACCGTCAGGCTGGTTTAGGGTCAAACGTGTCTAATCAAGGTCCAAGTGTGTCACAATCTCTGGATACTACATTTCTTTCGCTAGAACGTATGATTAGGTACGTCCGTGGCATATAACGTGAACAGCACCCCGGCTTCTGGAACATGCATTTTACTGCAAAGCGGACGTATGTCTCCAGAGAAGATGATTCGTTTGCACAAGGAGCGATGCCTTCTGCAGCAATTTGCTAGCAGTTCTGAATAATGGAAATCAGCCTCCGAAGTAAATCAGACGTCTAGTAGAAGTCTAGCTCTGCATAGCTGGCAGTCTACATCACGTTACAACTTTCATGAGCAGGACCGCAAGGTAAAGTCTACTTTACGCCTTCCGCTCTAGCTGATAAATTGGGGCTCCCATACCGCCAACCATGTTGCGCGTCGAATGCATGGGCTCACTTCCAGGGAGGACGTACATACTACTATACGCTTATCACGGACTCCGAGTCATTCAGGGCTGTTGCCTGGCGCCGGTGCTGGCGATATATCGTAAGTTTAGACATACTGCTACGTGACTCGCCATGACCTACTGCGTTGCTGCAGCTCATGGCCCGATGAGAAATTAGCCTGGGGACCTTGGAGTCTGGTGGTAGGGCGACTAGCGGACAGGGGCGTTGAAGGCGCGATGAGTTGTACAAGGGGCTCGGGAGGGGGACGGGGCTCCAAGCAGCGTATTATCATCTTCCTTAAACTTGGTAGTTTAAACCTCACCCGAGTGGCTCCTCGATGAAACTCCCCAACGGCGCTGCAGAGACGCAGTGAAAGGGCGATTCGTTGGCTGCAGGTAAGGGGAGGAAAAGAAAGAAGTTGAAGAGGAACAAAGCCGCTGTTTGGATCAAAGCAGCGTTGTTGCCCGCAAGGTCCCCAGGTTATCTAATCGCCCGCCGCGTGACATGATATCATGAAATCCAAGGCTCCCCCAAACTCTCTTTCCTTTCCCCTTTGAAAAGTCTCGTTCTTTCTTCCCCGTCAGAGTCTTTTCGCTGGCATCAATTGCTGGCATTCTCGCCTACTACTCATCATGGCTGCCAGCAATGACCTACGGGGCTGGGTCATGAGCGCCGTGTCAGGCGTGGGTAAGTCTTTCTTCTGTATAGTACTTAAGTTTCGCTAGCTAACATAATCCAGCTTGTGTCTTGGGATCGGCCGTCATTTGTGTGGATCTTGTTTTACGGCGATTGTCTCGCCGCAAAAGCTTCCAGATCGTCCATAACAATGCCTTCTTATCTGCGTCTCTGAGTCTAAGCGCGGGCGTCATGGTATCTCTCTCTGACCAGTTGACCCTAACTTTGGTAGCATGCTGACCGCGCTAGCTTTACACTTCTCTCTATAGCATGCTGCCTACTTCTCATCGGTACCTGACTCGAGCTGGCTTGTCCCCCTCGCTTGCTGCATACGTCCTTATCGGTCTCTTCCTGGCGGGCGCGGTCATCATCCGTTTGGCATCGGCACTATTGCATCGCTACATACCGTCACATGTCGTCGACTGTGCTCATACCCATGAGCCACACCCCACCTCTGATCATGAACACGGGGGCAAGCCAGACGGTCATACACACTCCCACGGCCCTAACCATCTGAATGAGCGAACTCCTCTTTTGACTCACAAGTCTTCCCCAGCCACTGTGACCGTCCCCGCTGCTGGTGAAGACCCAGGCGCACTTGTGCGAAGGGAATCCCTGCATATCCGCTTGACACGACGCATTAGTCGTCTGGTTGGCGGAGTCAAATCACATTGCGATGAGAATGGTCCCTGTTTTGGATTCTCGCAGGCGTGCGGGCACGAATGCACCAAGACCCTCGAGGGACCGGAAATCTCTGTCCTGGATGACGGCACCGTGCGCCCGCCGCTGCCGCATCCCCACAGCATATCCGTGCAAGTGGACTCGGCACGACTAGATGATCTGGAGGCAAACCTGCCATCCTCGCAAATTCGTCGTCAAGAGGCGAGTTCCTCTTCTTCCCGGACCGGGCTTCTTGATGACCAGGATATGGCGCCTGAAGACGGAACTAAGCCGCCACCCAACCCCCAACACCATCACCATGTGCCACAGAACGCCTTTCTCTCCATCGGTCTGCAGACATCTATAGCAATTGCCTTGCACAAGTTGCCGGAGGGGTTTATCACCTACGCTACGAACCATGCGAGCCCGACTTTAGGTCTTACGGTTTTCTTGGCTCTTTTCATCCACAACATCAGCGAAGGATTCGCCATGGCCTTACCTCTGTATCTCGCGCTGCATTCGCGCGGCTGGGCCATGTTCTGGTCAAGTTTGCTAGGCGGCATCAGCCAACCTGCTGGCGCTGCGCTGGCAGCTCTCTGGATCTGGGGTGCTCGGCGTGCTAACGGCGACGACGCCGCTGGCCCGTCCTGGGGTGTCTACGGCGGTATGTTTGCCGCGACGGCGGGCGTCATGATCTCGGTTGCTCTGCAGCTGTTCAGCGAAGGCCTTACCCTAACTCACAATCGGGGAATGTGCACTGGGTTCGCTATTGGAGGAATGGTCCTGATGGGGCTCAGTTTCGCCCTGACCGCATAGTCATACTAAACGGCGTTGGTGGTAAAAAGTATTCCAAGATGCAGCGCATTCTTATACTAGAACACTTAGTCAAGAGATAGCATTCCTGGCGTTAGGTTTATGATTAGGAACGAGTAACGAAATCCAATATATACTGTCTCACTACTAGTCCACTTGCTAGTTCGCCCGTAAGACAGAAATATCGCCACTACCATTTTAGTACCCGAAGAATCATTCATTATATCATACACTATACAGGATCCATATCCAACGCCAACCATATGCAATCTACCACTCACAAAGTAGACAATCACGCCTTCTTCGCAGCAGCCTCGCGCTCCCTCTTTCTGGCCAAATACCTCTCCTTCGCACTCATCACATCCCCTTCCGTCTTGCGACTGCGACTCCGCTCCGCAATCTCCTTCTGCCGTGCCGCCTCGGCCTCCTCCTCCTGTCTCGCCCGCTCCTCCAACTGCGACGCAATCATCTCCGTCTGGCGCGCACGCTGTCCACCCCGTTCGGCCTGCTTCTGCGCCCCAAACCTCGAAGCCTGCACCGCAGCCCTCGACGCCGCCGCAGCCGCCGCATCCTTCTCCTTCTGCGTCTGCTTCGGCTTCGGCGCGACATTCAACCCCGCCGACAACAACTGCCTCTTATCCACCACCTGACCCTCATCATTAACCGCAATATGCGCCCCCTTGGCATTCAACTCCTCCGCCATCTGCGCCTCACTCTTCTCCTTCTTCTCTCCCTCCTCCTTCTCCTCTTCAGTAACACCACCACCCTCCTTCACCTTCTTCGCCGCCTCCTCCGCCGCCTTCACAACAGCCTCATGCCTCTCCTCCCCACGCGACAACATATCCCGGTAAAAGTCCACCATCCCAGATCCCCCATTCTTCTTCCGTCTCTCCTCCTCCTCTTTCTCCCGCGCCTCTTCTTCCGCCTGCACCCGCCGCAATTCCTCCTGCTGCGCCTTATACGCCGCAGTCACGAATTTCTCCTTGTCCGCGAACTCGTCGCCCTCCGCTTCGCGCTCCTTCGCGAGCAGACGATCCCGCGCTCGCATTTGATCCCGTTTGCGGATCTCCGCGCTGCGCAGCAACGACGTCATGTATTTCGGCACCGTCGAGCCGCTCTCGCTATCGTCTGAGGCCTTTTTGTCCTTGTTCGGTTTCGCGTGTAGGCTGTCGTAGACCGCGTCGTAGGAGTAGATTGTCGGGTCGAGTTCGGAGGCTTCGGCCGCGTGTTTTCGGCTGCTGTGGAGGGCGGATAGGTTCGTGTAGGGTTTTGTGGTGTCGAGGTCTTTGCTTTTGGGTTTGGGTTTGCTGCTCGTGGAGGTGTTGAGGCCGTACGTTGGTGTGTTTGTTGCTTTTTCTTCTTCGTCGGAAGCGTCCGCGAATATGGAGCTCTTGTTGAGCGGTTTCGTGTTTGGTGGTTTGGGTGCGCTGGATGATGATGTTGCGCCGGGAGCGAGGAGCTTGCGTTTCGTGGGGCGGGCTTCCTCTTCTTCGTTGTTGGTAGGTGTGAGGTCGTCGAGGCCGCCTATCGTCGTGATTTCAATTGCGCCGCTGTCACCGCCGCTGCTAGTGCCTTTCTTGACACTGGTAGTAGAATGGGATTCATCGTCGTCGGAGTCATCGCCGAAGATAGGTTTCTTGCGTTTCGGCGCGGGGGGGTTAGGTCGAGAGGTGGGTTTGGAGGGAGGGTTGAGACCGAAGCCTAGCTTTGGGGGAGGCATGTTATCCCTTATTTTTCCCAGTCGAATTGATATATTTGTTTTCTGTAGACCTTAAGAAGATGAGAATGGAAGGAAGATGAAGATGCAGCTAGTAGAAACCCATGATGCACGTCACGTGGACCCCTACCTATCCTTAACCCTCCGGGATTGATTTTCTTATCTTATCACACGTGACACATTACTTACTCCCCTGGCCTGCTGCCCCCATCTCCGATTCCCCGAAAGCCACAAGTAAATACGTAGTTGGTGGCCCGCAACAGCACAGCACAACCCCGGAAAGCCACAAAGACAATCAATCAAAATGTCCTACTACTTTACGATCCTCTCCCCGACGGACGTCCCCCTATTCAACATCGCCTTCGGCACATCCAAGTCCGGAGGCGACGGGATCGCCCGTTTCCGATTCCCGGATACAGCGCAGTACATGAACCAGTTTATTATCCATTCGAGTTTGGATATTGTTGAGGAGGCGCAGTGGATGAATGGGAATATGTATGTCCTCTTCTTCTCTCCCTTCATGGTTACTATGTGTGGATGTAATTGAAGCGCATGTTACTAATGATTGATGTCTGGCAGGTACCTAAAACACATCGACACCTACCCCCCCGCATCAGCATACATCTCCGCGTTCTTGACCCCCTCCGGGGCAAGATTTCTTCTTCTGCATCAGCCGCCACAATTAGCTTCGAATAGTGGCCAGGGGGCCGGTGGGAGTGGTTCGATGGGCGGGTCGATGTCCGGGTCGTTGTTGTTGGGGTCTGCGGGCGGGTCGTCGCGCGCGTCGGCGAGCTCGATAGCTAATAATCCGACGTCGCCGCAGACGGAGGAGGCCGTGCGGCAGTTCATGACTGAGGTGTATGAGAATTATGTGAAGACGGTCATGAGTCCGTTTTATAGGCAGGGGATGGAGATTAAGAGTCCCGTGTTTAGGGGGAGGGTTACGGCTGCGGGGAGGAAGTGGTTATAGGGTTGGTTCATTTGTGGTTTGATTTGATGCGGTTGTGGGTTGGTTTTGGTTGGGTTGAGGCGTTTAGTGGTTACTACTCTCTGTACATGGTGTTTGGAAGATACCAGATTCATATTCAATGTATGCATGTCCATAAATCGTATTCATAGCTTCGTTACTATTTCTTGTCCTTGTCCGTCCTGATGATGACTCCTCTATCCCGGTAGCAGATCGTTCCTCCAATGTTGACAGCGCTGAATGATATCCCAGAGTTGATCCAGATAAAGTCAGAAGGCCTCTGTGGGCGAGGAGTAGCAAAGAGGTAAAAGAGAAAAAGGCAAAAGTTGGACCATCCCCTCGCCGCCTATCATACCGTCATCTGCGGAGCCAGCTTCTTCACAGTCACGGCTTTAAAGTTCTCCACTGCGTGCATCACGTCCTCTAGTTTGGCTACTGCCCCGAAGATTCCTCCCTCCATCTTAACTGACTCGATGGCACTCACATGAAGGGACGGTTCGCTGGCTGCAGTTCCGTCTTCCAGCACCACGCAGTCAAAGCCTCGGTCGTTGGCCTCGCGCATAGTCGTCGCAACGCATACATCGGTCGTTACACCCACTAACACCAGGTTCTTAATACCGCGATTGCGAAGGATGAGTTCGAAGTCGGTGTGTGCAAACGCACTCCGGCCTGGTTTGTCGATTACCGGTTCCCCGTGAACTGGGTACAATTCGTCAACGGTGTCGTGACCCACCTCGCCACGTATCAGCAGACGGCCTAGGGGTCCGGGAGATCCAATCCCCATGCCAGAAGCATTGTTTTGTGAACGGTAGGCCTCTCTACTAGACAGCGTCGACAGATCGGGCCGATGCCCTGGACGATGTCAGTAATCGAAGGAAGAAGAGGAGAACTTTCTCCTACCTTCCCGGGTGTGGTAGATAGGAAAGCCGGATGAGCGAAATGCATTCAGCAGATGTTGTAATTTAGGAATTAGTGCCTGATTAGCCGATATGTCGTAGCCCTGAAGGCTCATGTATCCACCCGGCAAACAAACTGCGTTGGCATCCCATTAGTAAAAAGCTCAGCCAGGACCCACACGACCACATGGAATCATACGCACAGTCCTTTTGCATGTCAATAATTACTAACGCCGTCGTATAAGGGGTCAGTGTCGCATCGTGCGGCCAATCGTAGGGTACCGCTGCGATCTGGCCCTTTCGGACCTTATGATGAGGGACCTGCCGAGGCTTTTCGACAATCGGGCCGTGGTTGTGTGTGGCGTTCAGAACAGTCAGCGTCCAAATCCCAGGAGTTCCAGCTGCAACTAGCATGAACGGGCAATCCATCAACCGGGATGTGCGCCGCCGCTTCCTAGTCTCCTCAGTGAGCCCGTTGCGCGGGCGATAGTGGCCACCACGATCGCATCGCAACCAGACCTTGGCAGTCCGCCCCGGTTTCTTTTCCGTGGGAGTGCTGGACGACTTGACTACGACGTTGTACCCATGAGCTTTTCCGTGTGCCTGCACTGCTGCAAGAAGCGTCGCCCTTTGAGAAGATCACCACGATGTGAGTTATCAGATCCACTATGGAGCCACAGCGGACCGATCCGCTACCCGACGTGTGGCAAGGGGCACAGAGAGGGTGGGAAAGGAGGAGAGGGAGTGAACGGGGTCAAACTCACTTATCAGGATATGTCCCCTCTGGCGGGGGAAGTAGTTGCATGGACATGTCCGGAATATCCTGTAAGTCACTGGGTGCATCCAGGTTCAGATCGGTAGGATCCGCCATAGTGACAGATGGTGGGGAAGAGAGGGTCTGGCAGGACACATCAGCGTCATCAGACAGAGATCCATGACTCTCATTGGGACAGAGGATAGCGCGAGCAGGAAAAAAAAAATCAAGAACAGGAGGTCATCGTGTCCGTGTGGAAATGGGGGGCCCCAGCGAGTGCGTGGAAGCACCTTCTTAAGACAGGGACGGAAACCGGGATTCAATGTGTGCGTGGATATAGCGTCACGACTGGTGTATGCCTTGGGGCCCCGGGTTGTGGCGGGATCTTAAGCCAGAACACTGGGGTCGTGAGGGCCATAAAAGAGAAGGAATACATACAAGAGGAAGGTCACACGCGGGAGCAACACTTGCTGAAAGCAGTTTCTTCGAACTCAAGTAGTGAAAAGAGCTTCAACAGGGGCGAAAGCAATCAGCAGGAGCACAGCTCCGGGAGAACAGAACGGCGTGGCAGGAGAAAGTGAGTGAGTGAGTCGCTGCCGTGTGTGTTCACAAATCATCACGTGGTTGTGGCCCGTGCCCGCAGCTCTTCGGCTGTAGTCTTAAAAGCGCGTCTGCCTCTTCACTGTTCGCAACACTCATTCCTCTTCACTTCACACTTCGATGGCTCTTGTTATCCTCTCCAGCTGAGATTCTTCTCTCCATCTCGTCCCATCACTTGCCATCCCATACAAGCTCTGTGGTGGCTCTGCCTTCCATCAAGTTCAGGTATAAAAAGAAACACTCTGCATCTTCAAGGACATGAGGACATGAGGACATGAGGACATGCTAACATTCGAGTCAGATCAAAGAAAGGCAAAGAAGAAAGAAAACAAAACAGAAAACAAAGATGAAATGAAAGAAAGTCAAAACAGCAACCGAACACGAGCCTCAGAAGAACAAGCTTATTCCTGCTTGTTCTTCTGGGGCTCGTGTTCGATGCTGTACTCAACCTGCTCGGGTACCTGAGCCAAAAAGCATTCGCCGGCGGGAGGGTATGGGCAGAGCTCCTCTTCTACCTGCGTGGCGGACGATTGTGGCAAGATATAGCTGTCATCTTCTGGCATATCTTGCAAGGAGAGAAGCTGATAGCTTGGCCCCCCTGCCAAGGTGTTGGCGGGGGGGTATGGCAACAGCAACAACTGGTCAAGTTGCGTGGCAGACGACAGTGGCATGGTGAGCATGTCGTCTGCCACGCAACTTGACCAGTTGTTGCTGTTGCTGTTGGTGCCCGTTGGCAGGTTATCCTGCTCTTCAGATGACGGAGTGATGCCAGCGGGCGCAGATTCTTCCGATTGATGTGCTGCAGATGAGTTATTGGGAGCACTTGAGTCGCCCAATTTCTGGGCCTTTGAGGTTGAATCTTCATCATTTACGCGCAAAAAATCGAATCCGTCTTCACCACTTTGCGCCAGGGTCTGTCGCAAGCCACCGCTGGGAAGAACAAGTCTGGAACGTCCGCTGTTAGCCAAAATCCCACATTGGTGTCGGGGGACTTACTGTGTATCACTCTCGGTCCACATCTCACCCTTTGACTTCTCGAACTTCAACCTGTGGGGGCAATACGTGCCCTGATGGTAAAATATGCAATTTGCACAGGCCGCCCTGTGCAGGGCTCGGCCACCAAGGCTAGGCGAAATGATGCATTTAGCAAGGGGGCCGAGGGTCTGGCACCTGTCACATCGCTCAACCTCCTCTCCTCGACGGTAGAGTAAAGCCGCGGTGACAGCCTCTCTGTCTCTGATACGTCTTTCGACGGGTTGGCCGTTCTCAATGGTCCACTCAAGGGGTCTAACAACGTCAAGCATGGTAGCAACTTGCTTGTCGAACTTGGTTAGTTTCAGCTTGCTGGTGGCCTCCAGGTTTGCGGCATCGGTTTGGGCTGGTGGTATGTGAGCAGAATGATACGAGATGTATGGGAGGCATCAGACCTTCAGGCAGACGCAGCCTAGCGTCTTTGGCCTCTTGCAGGGCGTCAGCAATACGTCTCTCCACCTCAGCGTTGTCGATGGCCGGCATCTTGTCAACTAGTCTGCTTCGACCAGATATCAAGTTTGAGACACAGAGAATGTTCAACAAGCGACACTAATACCGATCGAAATCTTCAAACGAGCTCTTGTGATAGCCTAGTTACTATGATAACTGAGGGTATAAGAAGCGACTAACCAAGAAGCGTTAGCGTCAGAGGGAGATGTTTTCGGGGGGAAGTGCTGGGCCACGTGTTGCTTTTAGATCATAACAGAAGAAGTGAATGGACTTTCACTGGGCCAGTCATGGCTCAAGGTTGTCCCAGCGAGTCAGAAGGAAGAAAACCAGTCCCAGCAGACCCGCGGAGGTGCTCACAGTGCACTGTGTTGTGCCCTCAGTTGGTGTGGTGGTTCAAGCACAAGGGCTAGTCAGTTCACGACTTCACTCTCCATTTACAGAATGTGAAATGGCCTATTCATGTGAGGGAGATGCATTCATCGAGGTCAGAAGCCGGAGGGTGGTCACCAAGTGCCATGATGTACTGTTGATACTACTGTTGAATATCACACTCTTTAGGAGCCACACTACAATCACCGAACATCGCTAAATATACTGTCTCATTCCCCCATACCTACAACTCTCTGTAGCCTCCATCAATTCAATCAAGTACCCAACCAAGTATGAATGATACCGTGCAATCCATCCACAAATGGGTAATCTCAACATCTATCGACCCTATAGTAGCTTCGACGAGTCCGATTCAAAACACCAAGCCCACCGATCTGAAGTCCCAACGAAGCCAGCCTGCTACCCATCGTCCAGGTCATCTCCAGTCTTCTACCTCATGTACTTTCCATGTGATTTTGTGAATGGAACAGTCCAGTCTAAGTATCGACTACGCAGATCTCTAGAGAGTTTACCCTTTTTCAGTATTGGAACAAGCTAAACGATCTTCACTAGGCCCTGGTATTTGGAGCTACCACGTTCCAGTCATTCATGTTAATTGATCTACAACTCACTTGACGACTGGCAATTCTAAGTCAATGTCAAAGCAACATGACTTGCTAGTGAAGTGGTAGTAGCTCATGCCCAGCACGTCGGGAATACGCCATGGAGAACAACAAAAGATGCTGGAATTTCGTCTCTTCGTTGGCTCGTTTCTTGGATAAAGCAAGGACTAAGTATGCAGGGTTCGGTGATTACGAAGAGTATCAGAATATGTATCCATGTAAAAATGCAACATTGGTGATGATAACCAAAGATAAGCTACTAGAATTGCTTATTCCAGGGGATCTACCGTCATCTGAAATATCGTTTCGATGCAAGATTAGTTTATCTCTGGGAACTGCTGCTCCAAGGTTACTTAAAGTACTAGGAATTAGTCGTGCTGGTATAGTATGGTTGTTATATGTGTTTCTGTTGTTCTTTTATAAATTCGGAGGCATCACATTAGGCAATTTGGAGACCCTTGTTTCACATGGGATGATCTCTATGTATCAAATTCGATCATTACGGGAAGCAGTTCAAAACATACTGTATGAGTGAGGTACCGGGCTGTATTCACCCTGAAGGTCAGGAGGATAGTATTACGATTTGAGAAGTTGGTTCTCGCATTTGACAAAGCCCAGGGAAACAATATTATGTTCTAAGGCAGGACATTTGGCTGATGAGTTGGGTATTCACCTGAATTTCCATATTTCGAACTTCTTCCACGGTTTAGGTCAATGACCCGAGCTTAATCCATGGATTCTAGATTTGGACGAACATCCTGAGACATGCTTCAATACGCAATAGGTTGTTCATTAGTACCAAATACTATCATCTTTCAGTATGAGAACCCAGAGACTGAGGTAGTCGTTGTCACGACCTAGATCTGGGTTCAGCAGATTATAATCGCAACCGCGACTGCGACCGTTCAATGGTCGCCAGCAGTCCTATCAGATCCGAGAATGCTCTTGGGGTGCCTGATGGCCATATGATTGGTGCGCAATGTTCACTGGCGGCCGACCAGACAATAGACCAATCGTGGGAAGACACCAGAGAGATAGTCTACTACTAGTAGACCTCACCTGGCTGGGGTGGTCATCTGAATGGAAGCGCACTAGTGAGTCGCGATCATATGTTGACGCTCCAAAAATTGAGGGAACTAGTATAAAATATAGAGTTCAGTTCCATGGTTCAGGCAGAAAGGGAAGTACTTACGTGGTCCGGATAAGCATCTAGGGAATGCGAGATAGCAAATCAAATGCAGAGTGATAGAACCTCTCCAGTAGCTAGTAGCATATGATGAATAGATAGTTGAATGGATGGCATCTGACTGTTGTTGCCCAGGCAGAAGATGTTATTCTGGACTGTTGACGATCGGCAACCTCAGGCCGCGAGACCACGGGGGACTCGGGCGTAAGTTACGGTAACCCGTCACGACCGGTAAAGGCGGTTGTTGACAGCCAGACCCCGTGCCACTGCCACCATTGGCTGATTGGATCTTGCGCCCGTCCCGTCCGCTCTGGATAGCATCACCATCCATCTACCCAACTACTCTCCCCTCAAAACATTCTCCCTTCCTCCCCCTCCCCTCCCCTCCCCTCCCTCCTTCCCCTATCCCTTTCCCTCTGTGAGGGATTCAATCAAGGTAAGTCAATTTGCTAAGGCTTTTCTGGTCTTGGTATTTTCTCAGCGATCTGGTCCTTTCTACTCGCCCGCCTCGTCCTGTCTCCTTCCTGGCGTCCACGCCTTCTCACCGTCGCAAGCGTTCCCGGCTGCCTGCGACACCGCCTCGGCCCCTCCGCCATCACCACCAGTTCACGCACGGTTGTTGTGACTGCCCGCGTGTTCATGCTCTCGACCCTGGCCTCCCCTTCTCCCATCCAAACCATTCTATAAATCTCCCCCCCTTCTCCCGGGGTCTCTCTGACGTGGTCCCCTGGAGCGTGCGTTCCGATCGCCGGTTTCGTCTGCTGGTGCCGCAATCATGCCATCGGCCGACGCTTCTTCGTCCGCCCGCCCCAACGGGACCAGCTCGCGGTCTGATCAGCTCGCTTATTACAAGGCGCAATATGAACAGTTAGAAGCCGAACTAGCGGAGTTCCAGGCTTCCAGCCGGGAACTGGAAGCGGAGCTGGAGAAGGATATCGAGGCGTCGGAGAAGCGGGAGCGGGTCTTGAAGGAGAAGCTGGAAAACCTGAGATATGAGGTCGACGAATGGAAGGTGAGCCTGACGTGTTCCTGGTCCCTCAAACTTCCCTCGTGGGAGGCTTGAAGATCTCCAAGGTTAACGGGAACCCCCTTGCAGTCCAAATTCAAGCAGTCCAAGTCGGAGGCCAACACGGCCCAGAATTCGCTGCAGAAGGAAATCACAACCTTGCGAGACACCAACCGAACTCTGCAGTTGAGACTACGTGATACGGAAGTTGCGAACGATGATTATGAGCGCCAGGCCCGCCACACCACTTCGTCCCTGGAGGATATGGAGCAGAAATATAACATGGCCATTGAGCGTAGCGTCCTGTTGGAAGACGAGGTGAAGGCCGGAGAAAAAGAGCGCGAGGCTCTCCGCATTCAGTGCCAGCGTCTTCGGGATGAACTATCGGAGCAGAAACTTGACAACGAAATCCTTCAGGAGAAGCTTCGCCATGAGCAGTACGGCGGTCGGCGCAAGAAGCCTACGCCTTTGTCCCGCACGTCATCGTCAACACCGCAGGCTCCCGAGATCTTCGATCGCTCCCCAGGCACGTCCGCCGTATCATCTCCTCTATTTGTTCGTACGCCGATGAAGTCTTCCTTGATGGGTGTCACTGCGGCTCCTCCATCGCCACCGATGTCTGAGACGTCGGTCAGTGTGACCAACATGATGGCCAACATGCGCAAGACTGTTCATGCTACAGCTGGATTTCCGCTCCAAAAAGCGTCAGGATCCGAGTCTCTCATGGGCTCCCGGTCGATGTATGACGCCAGACCCAACAAGTCATCCCGATCCCGCACCACTGGCAATGCAAGCAACAATACCCGTTCTACCGCGTCCACGGCCACTTCCCGGATTAGCTTGACGAAGCCCGCAAATTTCGGCAACTCGATCAACTCGATCAATTCCCCGCGAAGCGAGAATGATGACCAAAAGAGCAGTCTGCCCAAATCGGGTTCGTTGTTCCAGATTCGGGGGCTCATTGGCAAGATGCAGCAGCTGGAAGAAAGAGTCCAGTCAGCCAAATCCAAGCTGCCTCCTCCGTCTGACTCGCCGTCTCGCGCCTCTTCGCGTTCCGGTTCGATCTCCGTGAATGGCGGAAGTCCTGTTGCTTCCACTATCACTATGCGCCGAAACTCGCGCAAGAGGTTGAGCGGTAGCAGTTTCAGTTCGTCGATCCGGGATAATGATGGCACGGCGTCATCTGTCTCCAACAACCGACCATCCTTTGGCACGCGCAATGGAGGCGACAGCCGCCCTAGCAGCCGTACTAGCTACTCCAGCGCCTTCAGCCAAAGTACGCACCCAAGCGTCGCGCCGTCGACACGCCCAGAGAGCCGCCAGAGCCGGACTAAGACTCCTTTAGGACATTATTCGACGAACCCTACGACGGAGAGCCGGCGGCCGCGGTCGTCGCTGAGCAACCCGTCGGGGCAGAATGGCTCGGTGAACGGCATGTCCAACATCGATGAAGATGAGGACCAAAGCTTAGCGTTCCGCCTGTCCGTTCAAGCCAAGATTAGCGAAGCTCGCGAGACCCGCTACCCACCATACTCGACGGCGACTCTGCCGAAAAGACGGACACCTAGCGGCATCCCGGCGCCACGCACCTTGCGGACCAGCACTGGCGGAGGCATGACATCCCCAGATCCAAAGGCCACCAAGTTTGGCGACCTCGGCGAGACATTCTAAGCTTCATCTTGTTCTTTTCCCTTGTTCTTTCTTCGAATACCCCTCTTTTATCCCCGAACGGCAATTGATTTCAAGGGGGTTTATGATGTTCACGGCCGGTACGCAGGTTTTTTGATTCGCTTCTTTATTCCCCTTTTACCCTTGTCATCCCTCTTTTGCATCATTTTCATATTTTCCCTATTCATTGATTCCCTTCGACATTGTTCCATTTACATCGACTACCCCTGGCACGTTATTTTTTGAAAGAATGCCCCACCTAGAGGGGGTCAGATCATTTGGCGGACTTGTTTAGACAGGTTCATAGACATCTGCTTTATCAAACTTATCGGAAGGTGGCATCCCATATGTGGCGGGATGGCCTTCGAGTCTGTACAGTCAGTGGCGGCGGAGTTGGAATTGTGACCGGTTGACTGGCGCATGGAAGGTTCTTCTAGCCGGGAGGCTTGTCCTCCACCGGCGTCCAAGCTGTGTCTCAGCACCTGATTTCTTTGATGTTATGCTGTTACTGTGTATTGAGAGAGTTGCCTAGGCGTTAGGTAAATACCCAGTGACTTGGATGGATGATTTGCGTAGGCTGCACAGATTATATGTGGCAGACATTCTAGACCTGATCGTTATCTGGCATGTAGTCTATAAATGCGCCGATCTGCACGACCCTGATTCCAAGTAGGGGATGCTGAAGAGACGTGTCACTGCATGGGTGGCACCCACCCACGACTTCATGTTGCAACACCCACCATTCCAGACAGCCACTATTCCGTATCTAATTCTGATTTGAAGGATCAGATTGTAAACTCCTCTTCTCCAAAATAACCTAGTCCTATCGCCTTTCACATGGTCGCTACAAATCAGCATATGCAACAGAGCGCACTAACTCATCCCCTCAACCTCGTAAAAGTACTACGAAGTGTAGTAATATAATAGTAACCCAGAGTCGGCCACCCCCTCGGATTTTATACTTAGTGCCTCCCTCTGACATCCCATGACACCCACCCAATCCGGTATGTTCTCACCTCCGCCGCGCCCCCCTTCTCTCCCTAAGTTCTCACCTAATCCTAAGTAGGTACTATGTAGAACTAGTATTAAACCCCGACACCATCCATCGTCCTTCCCACGTGAACGTGAACAAATCCCCCGGTCCGAAACAAGCACACAAAAGCCTAGTCTAAAATCTGACTACAGACGACGGGAATGGAAGACAATAGAATAATAATCGTTCGGGTTTAAAACTGTTCTATTGTTTTGCTTTGCCTTTGTTCTTGTCTCGTGTTTTGCTTTTTCCGGAGGTCGGGGGCCGGGAAGGGGCGTGTGTGTCAGACCGTGAAACTCCGAAATGGAGGAGCCGCTCGGGGGCGGAGGATTGATATCATCCTGCAGGATTTCGGGGACTCGTATTGTTGTAGTATTTGTTAGATGCAGGTAGGTAAGTAAAACGTGGGTTTTGGGTTTTGGGTTTGGATGTGGGATTATTTGGGGGGTAGTTACTAAGAATTCAAGAAATGTAGATTAGATGTAAGGTGGTGGTGGTGGTGGTGGTGTGGTGTATTGTAAATATTTTGGGGAGGGTAATGTACTATGGTTTAGTGTTTTTATTTTACAGTGCCAGGTAGGTTAGTATTCTGTTGTCTGTTTTCATTCGATTCTGCTGTTATTTAAATGTTATTTTGGGTTTCTGGGTAGTTGGTTGAAATCAGTAGTATGAAGCTACGGGATATATATAGAGTGGCCGTACGACGAATTGAATAGAGGCAATCGCAGTGACAATAGCTTGAAAAAGATATATACGGGCACAATAAGTTATTAATCGTTAGAAATAGTTTTGAAAACTAGTTGAGTATGCATATTATCTTGTAATTAAGAGTTATTGTTACACACACTGTTAGTAGCACAAGGGTTGTTTATAACTTCATAGATCTATAAGAGTATATCCGAAAGCTAAATCAACCAAGCATTAGATTACCGTGTTTTTTCCCACACTTACAAGTAGCGAAACCGCTACTATGATTTTATGCTATGGTTTTAGATCATTTGAAGCTATAAACCAGTGAGTGTGTGATGGTATCATATCCCGTTTTCCTATTGTGTGGACAGAACATGTTGCTGGTTCAGAAGATAGGGTATACTCCTGTGCAACTCTTCCGCTGAAAGTGAATGTAAATCAGATTGATTATCGTCAATCTCTGTTAAGTGGTCCATTATACGCCGTGCAAGAATCAGATAACCTTGGGAGAACCATGACTTGAATTGATGATCTCAGCCCTGCTTCCGCCAAACAGATAGCGGATGCAAGATCGTTGAATCTAAAGAAGCCCCACGCCAGATCCGAGCAGAATACAGTAAGCCTGGAAAGGCAATTCCTATTTGATACCCAGATAAGTAGGGATGCCCGCCGCCGGCATCAGTTTCCCCAATCGACAAGGGGAACCCGCTAATAATGAGGGATCGTTAATCTCTGAAAGGTTACGCCGAGACTAGACTAGTCCCTGCACGGCCATTTCGACTATTAGGTCTCAGCGCAAGGCCATGTGTTCGAGGCCCGAGACTTTGTTATTGAGAAACTACCTACGCTGGTTGATACCTGGCAGACTGTGGCCACTGACCACACGAGTCATGGATCCGTTCAACCGAATCCACCGTAACGTGTTTGTTAATGCCGTGGTGGGAGGCTCGGAGGAACTGCCGAGCCAGTTCTTGTCCTTTGAGTTTGGTTGAAGTGATATTGAGCTTGCTTTTGCTCTTAAATGGAGTGGAGGCTCTACCAATTCACTCTTAGTGGAGTCGGCTGGTGACGACGAGTGGGAAACTACAGTCCACAAGTTAAGTACGGATACCCTTGGGGTATCTATCTATCATCGACAATTGACAAACTGGGACTGTTCGGGATATTTATGATCAAAGTGTCGAGGAGGTCGAACAAGATGCATGTCGAACCTCGCACGAGCGTTTTACCCAAAGGGGCTAGTGGCCGGCAATTTTGATGAGGGCGGGCGTCCCGTGATTTCCCACGATCCCAACGGGATGACAACTCCATAGCACTTGATTGGCGGGAAACAGTGGGGTCGTCAACACAGTCCCAAAATGGTTAGTGTAGGGATGGGACTTTGCAGCAAACAATGTGGATCCAGGTTTTTTTTTTTTCCTAAGTACGGATACTCACTATTGAAATGCCCTTCCGAGTTGGCCAGTCGGGCACCATCCAGTCCAGACTGTCCAGTAGTCGGTCTCTTTCTCATCCTCAACCCAGAAAGGGATGGAACCCGGTACCATGGCTGGATCCCCAAGCGCCTTGGGGTTGGAGGCAATCCTGGTTTGAGCGGGTCAGTCAAAGTACAATGTCCCTGGTTATTGCAAATTTGTATCGTTCTGGGAGCATTGGACAAAGTCTGAATAAATTAAATCTGTGATTAGTAGGAGATGAACCATTGTCACTAGATGCCACGATTAGATGCTAACTACTTATTACCTTATCAACAACTATTAATGATACTTATCTAGCTATACTTATAGTATCTGCCAGTAATTGATGATCGGACCGGACTGATGGATATTAGATAGTACTAGCAAGTACGTAGATGGAGGTTTGGATAAATTACCGGCTTCCCAATATAAGCTTGTATTATGCCGATGTGATCCCGTCAGGCTCTGGTTTCGCTCTCCGAGCCCCGGAGTATCTTTTCACTCAATTCGGAGCATAGAACCCGCGTTCGGTCAAAATGCGATTTGCAATTCACATTCTATTTACTATGTACTACTACTATCTACCCGGCAGGAGGGACGGTCTGAATTGACAGCTCATGACGGGGCCCGACAACTCTCTACTAGTGAGTTAGTGGATTGGTTCCGAGCATGGCGGGAATGTTCACTCGGTGTTCAAGGCCAAAAGCCAAGGCCCGCCATGATGATCGTCCGGGTTTTGAGCACCAACTTGAATCTGTTGGCTTGTCGGGGAATTCCCCCAACTACAACTCCGGACTAGATACTAGCAGCTAGTAGTAGACTGTCTAGACAGCACTCACTAGCGAGCGAGCAAGCTGGGTTCAACTTTGTCCTGTCCGTCCTATCATGCGCCCCATGCACATTTACTCCGTACCTTGCTTGGTTCTTGCTTTTGGCCCCCTCCAAATCCTCGGGACTTGCATCCAGGGTGACATGGCACACACTACGCGGTGAGACCGCCAATGAGTCGTCGGTGAGATTCGGCACATGCCTGTTCTGTTCCATCCCTTCTTAGGTAGCAGTCAAAACCCGCATGAAAGGGCGAGGGGTTTTGTTGGAGAGAGAGAGAAAGATAACAGTACAGCAGTATGTACTGGAGTAGATGTTGCAGCGAGGAACCATGGACCGGATCGGGGAGGGATTGGCTGCAGCAGCGGATTGTTGACCCGACAAATGCTGGGGATCCAGCCAGACAAAACTGGTGGGAAGCCCGACGTCATGGGCCCAACAAGCCGTACCGCTAGTTGGGAGACTCTTTCTTTTCGGTCTATCGGGGCGGCGGGCGGCCATCTGGTGGTCTGGCGCTATTCTTTTCCTTCCCTTCCCTTCCTTCTAGTCTACTAGTCTAGTATTATTCTCCCTCGACATCTTTTGCCGGTCTGTGGAAAACCCACCTTTAGTTCCTTTTTTGATAAAATAATTATTTTTTTTATTTTTGTCTGTAAAAAGATTTTTTTTTTTTTAAAAAAATATTTTTCATTTTTATTTCTTCTTTGGTGACCCATCCACCTCTCCGCGTATTTTTCCGTTCTGCACATTTCCCTGTACATTTACCGGTTCGAGCAATTATACGCCTCGTCCAGTAGTCCAGCTCCATTTATTATTTCTCTGCTCTTCCCTTTTCTTCTTCCCCGTCGACCTCTTTTCTTCTTCCACTTCCCCTTCTTCCTCCTCCCCCCTCTTCTCCAAACCACTACTCCTCCTTAACCAAGTGTCATTGCTTGCTTGCTTGACTGTCCCAAGGTGGTCCCAGTAAGTTCTCCATCTTACCCTCCCCAATGCCTTAAATTCCCTCCCGCACGTCCTCCGCGACTGGCCGCATGAAACTTTGTCCTCGACCTCAACTTATCTCAAACCTACTCTGCGCCTTGCTTAAAGCTGACTCTCACCCTCCCTCTTACTCAGCCCTGAGGAATTGAATCCTTCGTGTCTCATCTGCCCTCCCCCGCCTCTTTCTCCTATACCTTCGCCATTCCTAGTTAGCTCTTGGAGGGCTTAATTCCATCTACATTCTATACTACGCCACTTTTCCTCCGACGCCTCACGGACAGTCATTGCGCCTTCTCCCTTTTCTTCTCTTCGCCTTGACGCCTCTTCAATACTTCGTCCTCCCTATTCTTCTTGAATAATCCGGCTTCTTCTATCGCATGGGAATTTTATAATACCTAATATCCAACCTTGCATCATGAGCGCTCCCAACGATCACCCCAGTGCGCGTGCCGCGCAACACAACCTCGCTTCACATTTCATTGGTGGTAACAACCTGAATGCCGCACCGCCCAGCAGCGTCAAGGACTTTGTGGCCAGCCATGAGGGTCACTCCGTTATCAGCTCGGTGAGTTTTGCGGGGTACCGATGAGTTGGTCGGGCAAGAGTGCAGGAGCAACCCGTTCTAACAGGCTTTCCTCAGGTTCTGATCGCCAACAACGGTATTGCCGCCGTCAAGGAGATTCGTTCCGTCCGCAAATGGGCTTATGAAACTTTCGGCAATGAGCGTGCCATCCAATTCACAGTGATGGCCACGCCAGAAGATCTGCACGCAAATGCCGACTACATCCGTATGGCGGATCAATATGTTGAGGTGCGTGGTCATGCTGTGCAACCAGCGTTTCCTCCCCGTGTGTGAGCATGTCGGCTGACAGGAATTCCAGGTTCCCGGAGGCACGAATAACAACAACTACGCCAACGTCGATCTGATCGTCGATGTCGCTGAACGTATGGACGTCCACGCCGTGTGGGCCGGTTGGGGTCACGCCTCTGAGAATCCCCGTTTACCCGAAGCCCTGGCTGCTTCCCCCAAGAGAATCATCTTCATTGGTCCCCCCGCCTCTGCGATGCGCTCGCTTGGTGACAAGATCTCATCCACAATCGTCGCTCAGCATGCTGGTGTCCCTTGTATCCCCTGGTCTGGAACGGGCGTGGACGCTGTCCGGATCGACGACAAGGGTATCGTTACCGTTGATGACGATGTCTACAACCAGGGTTGCACGTTCTCGCCCGAGGAGGGTCTCCAGAAGGCCAAGGAGATCGGATTCCCGGTCATGATCAAGGCCTCCGAAGGTGGTGGTGGTAAGGGTATTCGTAAGGTTGAGCGGGAGGAGGACTTTATCAGCCTGTACAATGCCGCTGCCAACGAGATCCCCGGTTCCCCCATCTTCATCATGAAGCTGGCTGGTAACGCCCGCCACTTGGAAGTCCAGCTGCTGGCCGATCAGTACGGTAACAACATCTCCCTCTTCGGTCGTGATTGTTCCGTGCAGCGTCGTCACCAGAAGATTATCGAAGAGGCGCCCGTCACGATCGCCAAGCCTATCACTTTCCAGGCTATGGAGCGCGCCGCTGTGAGCCTTGGTCGCTTGGTCGGTTACGTCTCGGCTGGTACCGTGGAGTACCTGTACTCCCACGCTGACGACAAGTTCTACTTCTTGGAACTGAACCCCCGTCTGCAGGTCGAGCACCCGACCACGGAGATGGTTTCCGGAGTCAACCTGCCGGCTGCCCAGCTCCAGATTGCCATGGGTATCCCTCTGCACCGCATCCGCGACATCCGTCTGCTGTACGGCGTCGACCCCAACACCTCTGGGGAGATCGACTTCGATTTCTCCAACGAGGAGAGCTTCCAGACCCAGCGCCGCCCGCAGCCCAAGGGACACACCACCGCTTGCCGTATCACTTCTGAGGATCCCGGCGAGGGTTTCAAGCCTTCCAGCGGTACCATGCACGAATTGAACTTCCGCAGTTCCTCCAACGTCTGGGGTTACTTCTCCGTCGGTACGGCTGGTGGTATCCACAGCTTCTCTGACAGTCAGTTCGGTCACATCTTCGCCTACGGTGAGAACCGTTCCGCATCCCGGAAGCACATGGTCATTGCCCTGAAGGAACTCAGCATCCGTGGTGATTTCCGTACCACTGTTGAGTACCTGATCAAGCTTCTTGAAACCCCGGCCTTCGAGGACAACACGATTACCACCGGCTGGTTGGATCAGCTGATCTCCAACAAGCTGACCGCTGAGCGTCCTGACACGGTCGTCGCCGTTCTGTGTGGAGCTGTTACCAAGGCTCACCAGGCTAGCGAGGCCGGTGTTGAGGAATACCGCAAGGGACTGGAGAAGGGTCAGGTACCCTCCAAGGACGTCTTGAAGACGGTCTTCCCTGTGGACTTCATCTACGAAGGCCAGCGGTACAAGTTCACTGCCACCCGCGCCAGCCTTGACAGCTACCACCTCTTCATCAACGGTTCCAGGTGCTCCGTGGGCGTGCGCGCTCTTGCTGACGGTGGTCTGTTGGTCCTTCTGAACGGCCGCAGTCACAACGTCTACTGGAAGGAGGAACCCGCCGCCACTCGTCTGAGTGTGGATGGCAAGACCTGCCTTCTCGAGCAGGAGAACGACCCCACCCAGCTGCGTACCCCCTCTCCTGGTAAGCTGGTCAAGTTCACCGTCGAGAACGGTGAGCACGTCAAGGCGGGCCAGCCCTTCGCTGAAGTCGAGGTCATGAAGATGTACATGCCCCTGATCGCCCAGGAAGACGGTATCGTCCAGCTTATCAAGCAGCCCGGAGCCACTCTGGAGGCTGGTGACATCCTTGGTATCCTCGCCTTGGATGACCCGTCTCGCGTGAAGCACGCTCAGCCCTTCACTGGCCAGCTTCCCGATCTTGGTCCTCCTCAGGTTGTGGGTAGCAAGCCCCCTCAGAGGTTCTTCCTCTTGCACAGCATCCTTGAGAACATCCTGAAGGGATACGACAACCAGGTCATCATGAACGCGACCCTCAAGGAGCTGGTCGAAGTCCTCCGTAACCCCGATCTTCCTTACGGCGAGTGGAACGCCCAGTCCTCTGCTCTGCACTCTCGCATGCCCCAGAAGCTCGACAGCCAGCTCCAGAACATCGTCGACAAGGCCCGCGCCCGTAAGGCTGAGTTCCCTGCCAAGCAGCTCCAGAAGACTGTTCAGCGTTTCATCGAGGAGAATGTCAACCCCGCCGATGCTGAGATCCTCAAGACCACGCTGCTTCCTCTCACCGAGGTCATCAACAAGTACTTGGATGGCCTCAAGGTCCACGAGTTCAATGTCTTCATTGGTCTCCTGGAACAGTACTACGAGGTGGAGAAGCTCTTCGCTGGCCGCAACCTCCGCGATGAAGACTCTATCCTGAAGCTTCGTGACGAGAACAAGGAGGACATTGGCAAGGTCGTTCAGACTGTCCTCTCCCACAGCCGCATTGGTGCCAAGAACAACCTTATCCTTGCCATTCTGGCCATGTACCGCCCCAATCAGCCCAACGTCGGCAATGTCTCCAAGTACTTCAAGCCCATCCTGAAGAAGTTGACTGAGTTCGAGTCTCGCGCTGCTGCCAAGGTCACTCTTAAGGCCCGTGAGCTTCTGATCCAGTGTGCTCTTCCGTCCTTGGAGGAGCGCCTGTCTCAGATGGAACTCATCCTGCGTTCGTCGGTTGTCGAGTCCAGCTATGGCGAGACCGGCTGGGAGCACCGTGAGCCCGATTCCCAGGTCCTCAAGGAGGTGGTGGACTCCAAGTACACCGTCTTCGACGTGCTGCCGCGCTTCTTCGTTCACCAGGATGTCTGGGTTACTCTGGCTGCTCTTGAGGTCTACGTGCGCCGCGCTTACCGTGCCTACACTGTCAAGGGTATCCAATACTCTGCTTCCGGAGAGGTTCCACTGCTCTCTTGGGACTTCACTCTCGACAAGCTGGGACAGCCCGAGTTCGGCCCTATCACCACTGACCCGTCGACCCCCAGCACCCCTACCGCTGAGATGAACCCCTTCAAGCGGATCAACTCCATCAGTGACATGTCGTACCTGGTTGGCGACGGCAACGAGCCCATGAGAAAGGGTGCCATCATCCCTGTTCAGTACCTGGAGGATGCTGAGGAGTTCCTTCCCAGAGCCCTCGAGATCTTCCCCAGAGCTGGCTCGAAGAAGAAGGCCAGTGACAACGGTCTTCTCGCTAACCTGGAGGGCAAGCGCCGCCCTGCTCCCCGGGTTGAGAACGAGAATGAGTTGACTGGTGTCCTCAACGTCGCCATCCGTGATGTGGAGGATCTTGACGACAACCAGATCGTCTCCCAGATCAACAACATGCTGGCCGACCTCAAGGAAGAACTGCTTGCTCGTCGCATCCGCCGTGTCACCTTCATCTGCGGCAAGAACGGTATCTACCCCGGATACTTCACTTTCCGTGGCCCCAACTACGAAGAGGATGAGAGTATCCGCCACAACGAGCCTGCCCTTGCCTTCCAGCTGGAGCTTGGTCGTTTGTCCAAGTTCAAGATCAAGCCCGTCTTCACTGAGAACCGGAACATCCACGTCTACGAGGCTCTCGGAAAGGGCCCTGAGAACGACAAGGCTGTGGACAAGCGCTACTTCGTTCGTGCCGTCGTGCGCCCCGGTCGCCTGCGCGATGATATTCCCACTGCGGAGTACCTGACCTCGGAGGCTGATCGTCTCATGAACGACATTCTGGACGCTCTGGAGATTATTGGCAACAACAACTCCGATCTGAACCACATCTTCATCAACTTCTCCCCTGTCTTCAACCTGCAGCCTAAGGATGTTGAGGAGGCTCTCGCCGGTTTCTTGGAGCGCTTCGGCCGTCGTCTCTGGAGACTGCGTGTTACCGGTGCTGAAATCCGCATTCTGTGCACCGATCCCGTCACCGGTGTTCCCTACCCCCTGCGCGTGATCATCACCAACACCTACGGATTCATCATCCAGGTTGAGCTGTACATTGAGAAGAAGACTGAGAAGGGCGAGTGGATCTTCCACAGCATTGATGGTGGCAGCAACAAGCTGGGCTCCATGCACTTGCGTCCTGTCTCCACTCCTTACCCGACAAAGGAATGGCTGCAGCCCAAGCGCTACAAGGCCCACCTCATGGGTACTCAGTACGTCTATGACTTCCCTGAGCTCTTCAGACAAGCCTTCCAGAACAGCTGGACCAAGGCCATTGCCAAGATCCCCTCCTTGGCCGACCAGCGCCCTCCTGTTGGCGAGTGCATTGACTACAGCGAGCTTGTTCTTGATGAGAATGACAACCTGGTCGAGATCTCCCGCGGCCCTGGCACCAACACCCATGGTATGGTTGGTTGGATCGTCACTGCCCGTACCCCCGAGTACCCCCGTGGTAGACGCTTCATCATCGTTGCCAACGACATTACCTTCCAGATTGGTTCTTTCGGTCCCGCTGAAGACAAGTTCTTCCACAAGTGCACTGAACTGGCTCGCAAGTTGGGTATCCCTCGTATCTACCTTTCTGCCAACTCCGGTGCTCGTATCGGCATGGCTGACGAGTTGATTCCTTACTTCTCCGTCGCCTGGAACGACCCCGAGAATCCCGCCGCCGGTTTCAAGTACCTGTACTTCACTCCCGAGGTTAAGCAGAAGCTTGATGCTAGCAAGAAGAAGGAAGTCATCACTGAGGAGATCCAGGATGAGGGTGAGGTGCGCCACAAGATTACCACCGTCATCGGTGCCAAGGACGGTCTCGGTGTCGAGTGTCTGAAGGGCTCCGGTCTTATTGCCGGTGCTACCTCCAAGGCTTACGAAGACATCTTCACCATCACCCTCGTTACTTGCCGTTCCGTTGGTATTGGTGCCTACCTTGTCCGCCTTGGACAGAGAGCCATCCAGGTTGAGGGCCAGCCCATCATCCTCACTGGTGCCCCCGCTATCAACAAGCTGCTGGGTAGAGAAGTGTACACTTCCAACTTGCAGCTTGGTGGCACTCAGATCATGTACCGCAACGGTGTTTCCCACATGACTGCCAACGATGACTTCGAGGGTGTGCAGAAGATTGTTGAGTGGATGTCCTTCGTCCCCGACAGGAAGGGTGCCCCCATCCCTATCCGCCCCTGGTCCGACACTTGGGACCGCGATGTCGCCTACTACCCTCCCTCCAAGCAGCCCTACGATCCTCGCTGGCTCATTGCCGGTAAGGAGGACGAGGAAGGCTTCCTGCCTGGTCTGTTCGATACTGGATCTTTCGAGGAGGCTCTTGGTGGCTGGGCTCGCACCGTGGTTGTTGGTCGTGCTAGACTCGGTGGCATTCCCATGGGTGTGATCGCTGTTGAGACTCGCTCCGTTGAGAACGTCACTCCTGCCGACCCTGCCAACCCTGACTCTATGGAGATGGTCGCCAACGAAGCTGGTGGTGTCTGGTACCCCAACTCCGCCTACAAGACCGCCCAGGCCCTCCGTGACTTCAACAACGGTGAGCAGCTTCCTGTGATGATCCTGGCTAACTGGAGAGGTTTCTCCGGTGGTCAGCGTGACATGTACAACGAGGTCCTCAAGTACGGTTCTTACATCGTCGATGCCCTCGTCAAGTACGAGCAGCCCATCTTCATCTACATCCCGCCCCACGGTGAGCTTCGTGGTGGATCCTGGGTTGTCGTCGATCCCACCATCAACCCCGACCAGATGGAGATGTATGCCGACGTGGAAGCCCGTGGTGGTGTCCTCGAGCCCGAGGGTATCGTCAACATCAAGTACCGTCGCGACAAGCAGCTCGACACCATGGCTCGTCTGGATGCCACCTATGGCGAGCTCCGCCGCTCTCTCGAGGACCAGTCCCTCAGCAAGGATCAGCTCTCTGATATCAAGGCCAAGATGGCTGCCCGCGAGGAGCAGCTTCTGCCCGTCTACCTGCAGATTGCTCTGCAGTTTGCTGATCTCCACGACCGTGCTGGCCGCATGGAGGCCAAGAACACCATCCGCCATCCCCTCACCTGGAAGAACGCCCGTCGCTTCTTCTACTGGCGTCTGCGCCGCAGACTCAGCGAGGAGCTTATTGTCAAGCGCATGGTTGCTGCCGCTCCCAACCCTGCTGCTCGCGACGGCTCTGTTGCTATCCCTGCTGGTTCCAACGCCCCTGTCTCGACCGAGTCCGCTCGTGCTGTGCACCTCCGCACTCTGCACAGCTGGACCGGCCTGCTCGACGAGGAACTGCAGCGCGAAGACCAGCGCGTCGCCACCTGGTACGAGGAGAACAAGAAGGCCATCCAGACCAAGGTCGACGCTCTCAAGGCCGAGAGCGTGGCCACGGAAGTTGCTCAGCTGCTCGTCAACAACCGTGACGGTGCTCTGAAGGGTGTGCAGCAGATCCTCAGCGTTCTCCCTGTGGAGGAGAAGGAGGCTGTTCTCAAGTACCTCTCTTCCAACTAAGAGAATCATCCATCATCTTCTCTTCCCCTTCATGAAGACGCTCAATAAAAAAGAGCCTTCATTCCCTTTCTTTTCCCTTCTCAAAGAAACCTTTTATATAAAGCCCTTGGCATTACCATTGGACTAGGAGAAAGTCAAACTATCCTGCCCGCATTTACTCTTCTCTTTCTACTTTTGGGTTCTGTTATCTTGCTGGCTGGGTTAATGGGGCTTCAAGCAAGTTAAACCAATGGGTACACGGATTGATTGGTATTGATTGAGTGATGCGATGCATATAACGTCGGTTATGTTATGTCTGTTTGTTTTCTGATTACCTGTTTGTTGTCGGTCGGTTATTGAGCATGGTTTCTGTGTGGCTGTTCTGTATTTTACGTCGCATTTTCCTTTTGACAATGCAAATGATTACAACTTCAAATGTGGTATTCTTAAGTCGTATATCTGTAGTGTAGTATCCACGTAATTGTAAATGATTATTACTGGACTTATGGAGCAGGCAAAGATACGAATAGTTAAGGGGTAAGTGTAAGTAACTGAGGGGTAAGATAGACCAGAAGTTATATTAAGTCTGCACCACTGTACGATGATAATTATGTTAATTACAGGCGCAGAAGAAGCGATTATCACTACTGCTAAGTACTACTGCAGTTCACGGTCATAGTAGCTAGACTATAGCCTTTTACTACTCAAGTAACAACTAGTATAGGAGCACCATATCTGTCTCAATTCAAAGAGCTCAATTCAGATCCCCTCGCGAGGAAAGGGGACTCGACTTGTGTATATAGATAAGCTAATGATAATAGGCTAATGATATAACCATCGACAGACAGATAGTAACTAGTCCAAAACTAGTCTGCACGGATCCATCCATCCATCTCTCATCCATCTCTCATCCATCTCTCATCCATCTCTCATCCATCTCTCATCCATCAGCGTAGGGATGGAATCAACCAGCTCAAACGCCGAAAACAGCAAAGCAAAATAATAGCAACAACCAACAAACAAAATGGGGTATTATGTTCTTGTCCACTCGTTCAAATCAATGTCATCAGAAAGGGAATAGTCCGTCAGTGTGCGGGTGGGGAATATAGTAGCAAGTACAGTGATTAAGGTAAGGAATGTATAGTAGTGCTGCTTATGGAGGCGGGAAAAGAGCAGCGAGCGAGTCATGCGAGTTGCCTTTCCAGGCTTCGAGGTGGGGTAAGGATAGGCATTCCCCGGTATGGGGTTGATACTTCGCGCGTTCCGCGACTGGGATTTACCGAGTCCATGTCTCCGTCATCGATGCGAAGAGGGTTAATGTCCACGGGGAGTTGGCCGCGGATAGGGCGAGGGGCGTGGTAGGCAGGATGTTGGTGGTAGGGGTCCATGGCAGACGGGTTTGGGTTTGGGCGATGATGCATGGAGCTGGCGCGGGACTCGTCAGGATTGCCGGGCGGCAGACTGATGTAGTTGGCATTCAGGGAGCGAGCGATGTCTTCGAGGAGTATTTCCATGGGGGCGATGTAAGCGGTGCGGGTTTTGTCGGACCACGCGAGAACGTGGCCGCAAACTCGACCGCTGGCCTTTTCGAACACCCAGGCTCCTGAGTCGCCGGGCACTGTAAGAAACATTAGTAAGGATTCCTTAATCGAATGTGTGTCTGTAAAGACGAGTCAGACTCACTTACCTCCGAAGTTTCCATCAACACAGAAGCTGGTGGAGAAGGTTTGTCGCCCATGCAGTTTGACGAGAGTCATGGCTCTGGAGATCTGGCCGGTTTGCAGACCACTGGTTCGGCCACAGCAGTGGACTCGGAGGCCCCCCAGGTCTTCTAGCCGGCAAATGTTATTGAGATAGATAGTCTCTGGTTGCCGCGGCATGCGCGCCTGTTGGCCCCGTCTCTGTCCATACGCGTCTGGCCTCATTACGGACGTCTTGTCGTAGACGATGTTGCGCACGTTGATCCGCTCATCATTGATCTTGATCAGTGCCCAGTCAATCTCGTGTCGGATCCCTTTTCGCGTCCAGCGCCGAACACCCGAGGATGCGTGTACGTATCCAAAAGCGTGAGAGGCAAGATGTTCATCATCGCGATCTTCAGGGCTTGGAAAATAACTCTCATCGATGTCATCAATGGCTGGCTGTGTGACGTATAGCAAGGGCTCGTCTCCAGGATCAATCCCGGGAGTATCGCCTATCGATGCTGCATCTTCGTCATCATAGGGGTCATCAGCGTTTCCTCCGTCTTCGTCAGAGGAGTAGCCTTCGGAAAGGTATGAGTCTTCGAATGTTCCATCTAGACTGGGTGACAGCGAGATATCATCCCCATCCTCGTCTTCCGAAACCTCGAATTCAAGGTCTGATGCGACATCTGACGGGCCCTCGTCAGCCCAGGAGTACATATACTCTGGATTCTGAGGCGCTGCCATTTCGTGCATCCAATTTGCAGAAGACCGTAGAGGGCCACCGGTATCTGGCTCATCCGCATCCTCCTGGTCACTTGGTGATTCTAGCATGTGATGGACAGTCATCCCATAGGGCATACCATCGACCAGGATAGCTCCCCCATAAGATACAGGTGGCAGATGTTCTTCGTTGATGAAAGCGCCAATTGATGCACCGCATAGAGGCCGTTCCTGATAGCAAGGATTTGGGTCATTCTGGACCAATGCAGGTGCGCCAGCATTTCCTTGCCCTGCCATTGCCGGCCTGCGACGCTTCTTGCGTGGAACCTTCGATCTCTGTACATCACCACGAAGGACAAGGAGATCCCACTCTTCGCTATCAAGGACAAAATACTTCTTGAGTGCGGCCCGAACCTTCTTTGCACTGGCACAAGTGACACAGACCGTGGTCTTGGCGTTGTCGACCGTTTCACCAGTCATCATGAGTGTAACACTGCATGATTCGGCAGAGTCCTTCAGGATCTTCTGTAGAAGCTTCCTCAAGCGTGGTAGCATCTGGAAGTTCCATTTATTGAGATGGTCTTGTGGGATCTCCAAGCCCGACAGCTTTTTGCAAGTGCGCTTTCGTACTTTGCGCTCCTCCACTTTGATCTTATCCCGGAACATCTTCATGTCGGCAGTAGGTAGCGTGGAAAATGGTTCCTGGAAAGGTCGGATGGGCTCCGGAGTAGGTTTGAACTCACGAACAGGTTCCTTCATCGGCGCCGAGTCCAGTCCAGGAACAAGGGCAAGCGGGAGGCAGTCATCCAGCTCGTCAGCGGTAGGAGCAGAGAACATGTCTATCCTGCAGCAGGACCAGATTATCTTGCACATAGTGTAAAGAAAGTTCATAGAGAACGAGAAGATACTGTCGGGCGCGGAGAGGTCGAGAACGGGGTAGTGGAAGGCCTGAGGGACGCGGAGGTTCAGGTCATCGAACGGCTGGGTGGACAGATGGAAATTTGGCGCATCCAAGCACAGCTGTACCACATGGAGATATGCGCTGCCGCATTTAGGGCCCAGCTTCTTCAAGTAGGTGTTCTCAATTCTTTGCTTGAACATGGAGTTGTTGTACTTCATCTTCCAGATCCGACTAATGGGAGTCCAAAGTCCGATTTCGAGCAGCACGAGGCCAAGCGAGTACAGGTCGTATGCCCAGGCGGCATCATCCTCCATCGACCGCTTATCGTCCGGGTGACGATATATGCTGGAAGACAGGGGTTCGGGTGACGGCCCGTTTCCAGAGAACTGAGCAAATGAAGTTAGGTAGGGACGGCGCAAGTCCTCCGTCAGTCCGACTTCATCGCGGTTCGAGTTCGTCAAGCCGGGGAAGATAAGGATGTTACTGCTGTTAATGTTGCCATGTACAAGGTTCTGGCTCCTTAGCTGTAACACCGCCATCAGGAGGTCATAAGCTAAGCGAAAGCGCGTTTCTAGATTCGGAATAGGGTGTTCATCACTGGTTTGGAAGAGAGAAACGAGGGGTTTCGGTTTCAACCCATTCAGAAGATCAGTAGGGTTGCGAAGGAATGGGAAGTAGTCCATAGGCATCTGATAGACGAATGCGTATCGGGAATTTGGCATGTCGATAAAATAGCCCAGGAACTTCAGCAAGCCCAGGTGAGACACACGCGAGTTCTGCACGAGCTGTTCCAGAGTCCGCTGTACATGGTCCAGTCGTTTCTTCTCCGGCTTGGTGGCGGCACTCGATGCTTCGAGCATCATCGGCATATAATCGACGAGGATTGTTGCTGTGGAATCCTTGGTGCCGTACAGAAAAGGCGATGCCGATGTCCTGATGCGACCGATGGCCCGAGAGTTGGTAGAAGCCGCAACCTGCTCATAAGGGGGCGGATTGTTGTCATGCGAAGAACCAGACAACTGTAGTGCAGAACGATCGATAACATAAGTGTCCAGCGGGGCCTTATCGAAAGGCATCTTTTCAGATCGAGCCTGGCTGAATGCCGCCGCATTGTGCGTAGGCGATGGTGCTATATCAAAGGGACTCTGTTGTGTGCCGTCAAAAGATGCACCGTGGTAGGCTTTTGAGTCCAAGATGGAGTAGTCGGAGATGGCAGCGGGCCGGGATCGGCCCTTGGTAGTGGACTGTCCACCAGCAGTCATGCTAGCACTCATGTTGCGTCGTGAGCTCGACAGGTCATAGAGGGTGTCGATATAGCCTTCCAGGTCTGCCAGCAGAGTCTTGGAACGGCTGATCTCATCACTGGTCCAGTGAGACTTGACTGGAAGACCACTGAGACCGCCCTTAGGAGTGTCCGCACTAGCGCCTTTCGGAGGCAGATCGGAGGCACCGCCATGCTGGATACGCTCCGCCTCATTCAGCAGCACCTGAATGGAAGACATGACACTCTCGACAATTTCACTGTAGCCAGCTTGGGTTAATGATTCGTCAATATCATTAGGCTGGGCGGCACTGGCATCGCTCCAGTCCAGGCCCCACGCTAGCAATCGATCCCTCTGGGTCTTGAAACTGCGATGCAGCATGACCAATTCGGGGTCATCAACCGCAATGGAAGCCGTAGTGACACTCTCACAAGAGGTCTTTGTATCGGTATA